AGAACACCAGAGAGCAGGGAGAGATACCAGAGGGCCAGAAATGAGTACCTCAGAGTGAGAAGGGAAGCAGAGAGACAGTTTAAAAATGACATAGCGAGTATAGCCAAGACCCAACTAAAGCTGCTCCACAGCCGCATCAGGAGGAAAACAGCAGTGAAGGAACAAGTGATGAAGCTGCGAAAAGGGGAGAACAAATACACAGAGGATGACAAGGAGGTGTGTGAAGAACTCAACAAGAGATTCCAGGAGGTCTTCCCAATAGAACAAGGAGAAGCCCCCTGCACTAAATGAGGAGGCAGCACCCAAACAGCCTTGGAGGAATTTGACCTCACCAGTGATGAGGTCAAAAGGTGTCTGCTGGAGCTGGATGTGACAAAGGCTGTTGGGCCTGACAGAATGTCACCATGGATACTAAAGGAAGGTGCAGAAGCACTAAGTGTGCCACTCTCTATGGTGTATAACAGGTCACTGGAAACAGGAGACTTACCAGAAAGTTGCAAGACAGCTAACGTAGTCCCAATATACAAGAAAGGTGACAGGCAAGAGGCACTGAACTACAGGCCAGTTTCCTTATCTTGTATACCATGCAAGGTGATGGAGAAGATCGTGAGGAAAAGGCTCATAGAGCATCTGGAAGGAAATAACTTTGTAACGCATCACCAACATGGGTTCAGGGATGATAAATCGTGCCCCACAGACTTAATAGAATTTTATGACCAGACAACAAAAATTAGGCAGGAAAGAGAAGGGTGGGCCGACTGCATTTTCCTGGGCTGCCAGAAAGCCTTTGACACAGTACCCCATAAAAGGCTGTTAAAAAAGTTGGAGCAACAGGCAGGAGTAAAAGGGAAGGTGCTCCAGTGGATAAGGGAGTACTTAAGCAATAGGAAACAGCGAGTAACGGTGAGAGGGGAGACATCAGAGTGGCGAGATGTCACTAGCGGAGTCCCACAGGGCTCAGTACTTGGACCCATCCTGTTTCTAATATATGTAAACGATCTTCCGGAGGGTATAGACTCATTCCTCTCAATGTTTGCTGATGGCAGAGTTGTGGAATGAGCTGGCTAGAGGGTGGACAGGATGGGGTGAATGGGATAGGGGAGAATGGTGGATAGCGGCAGGTAGATGGATAGACGATAGGGGAAAGGGGAGGGGAGGGGTGGTGGAGGGAAGGAATAGGTAGGTAGGGAGCCTTGAAAGGATGTAGGAGATAGATGGATAGATGAGGTTGGTGTGGGGTGGTGAAGGCTAGGAGATAGAGAAGGGGGGATTGGTAAGAGGTGGGATGATGGTGGGCTGGAATAGGGGAGATAGAATAGAGATAGGGATGATTGCTAGGGACGGGATGAAGGGGAAGGTGTTAGGAGGGATCGGAATGGTTGATAATAATAAAGAGCAAGTAAAAAAATGGATGAAATGAAAGAGGTACTAGAGAGGAGAAAGAAAAGGGGTTGAATAGAATAGGGTGAAGGCTGAAAGAGAGACGCAGATGAGAAAGGGACGGCCAGGGATAGGGAACCGTAGAACATGAGCGAAAGGGCAGAGGGATAGACCGAAAAGGGATTACCCGAGGCGCTAGTTAGCGTATAAATTAATAGGGGAATCATCCAAGGATAGGAGGAGTTAGATATACTAAGGCAGGATAGGAAGGAATAGATGTTGGAAATTTCCAACACTAATACAACACTGTTGCATTATTATTAATTATTACTAAATCTACTAATCACTGTAGTAATTAAAATTAAACCAAACGTAGAGTTCACATGTACTAATAATTACATCGGTACAATAAGGCTAGAATTCTTACGTCACCAGACGCCAGTATTGCGTCAGATTCCATTATAATAAACACAACTATATCCAGTGTGTCTGAGAATTGAGTTTGATTCTCTATAAAACAACGGTGTTCTGTGTGATAATTATTTACAGATAAACTGATCCCCAACTAATGCCAAATAGAGCGTTTATAGTTATAACTGTTATCTGGTAATAAATTTAACATCACGCGTGAATGCCCTGGAGAGACTTTAATTCATCTCCATTGCTTGTTTACCATCGTAAAACGGGCAAATAATAATATTTAACTCCTCTGAATAATAAACCCGTCCTTATCTGAGCATTTCAATCACAACTGTGAGAAATAATATTATTCGTAGTAAATAATTTGTGTATCAAATGCGGGACGCGGAGCGGGGCAGGGGAGACGCGAGTACACGAGGCGACGCCATGAGAGAGAGACGCCATTACCCAAGCGGCCAGGGTGGACGCCACCAAGAGCGCAAGACGAAAGTCGCCACTGTGAGGTGTGAAGAACCTTTGCAGACAACATCTTAGCTGGTGTCAGTGTCATTTATACGTCGTGTTGAATTGTCAAGAGATTTAATTTGACATTCAGCCAGGAACCTGTTAATTTGTTCCGTGTAGCACAACGTGACCGGCCAGAGAAGCGCGTCAACATCTAGGCAAGGCACGACACCACGTGTTCGTTACTACGACGCCTGAACCTAGGACGCGAACTTCGGCAAGCTTTAACTTACACAGTGCCCTGTGTAAGTTTCACTTACACAGTGAACTTGGTATGTTCACTTCAAATTAGCTAAGTACCTTTATTCCCATTTGATGCATCATTTTGGAGGGGGTTATAGCGGGGTAGCTTGTCGTCACGCAGAGCGACTATAAAAACCCACAGGTTATTATCTGTCTCCATTCTCTAATTTAATTTTCTTGAACATAGATGTCTAGCAGCTTAATATGTTGCTACTGAATATAATTTGATTTGCAGCGTGTGTGAAGAATTCCCCGAACTGTCATTTCCCGTGTTAATCATCTCCCAGTGTTCCATGATGAGTTCAGGAGATTCCGAGGATGAATCATAATCGATGTCTTGGAAAACGTCTTCAAGCTAAGACCCCTTTCCGTATTCCTTAAATTACATTATCTGTAGTATTATTCATGCGGAGCACTGTTTTCTGGATTAACATGTGTTTATTATAATTATTAATTTCTCATGTTCATAATCTATGTTCTTATTGGTGATTGTTTCTATTGATTCTATAATTGGTCATAGGATTAGATTATTGCATAATGAACTGGTGCACGAACCACACTAGTTCCTGGACATATATGAAGTTCCAGTAATACCCCCCCAATGTAGGTGTTTGAGGCTTAGATTCAGTTAAATTATACAGCCCATTAATTATATAAGTGATCATATTCTCTAGTATTTTATCCATAGTTACTGGTTCATCTAGGAATTTTCTAATGATCATATTTTCTTAGTTTCCCTCTTTACTATAAAAGCGGGTGGTCCTTCGTAATAGAATTTCATTACATTAATATTTAAATAAATAGAGTCAAGCCCCAAATGTCCCACAATAGAAAAGCTCGGCTAGATCTGTGCTTTTGTGAGTGACAAAAAGAGGTGTGAAGAGACATAGTTGAGGATAAGGAGACCATGAAAGATAGAAGGAAATGGGGACAGGCAAAGTGGAGGCACGCGAGCTCAGGAGGACGTGGTTTGGCTGCTAGAGGAAGGAAAACTTGGAGGAGGAGGGAGGATGGAAGGTATTTGAGAGGCAGCATTGAATATATATTTTTCCCGGAGAGTTTTATTTAAAGACTGAAAAACCTCACGTGTATGGAATTCGATAAGAGTACCTAGGTTCGCCAGCTCTCACTACGTTAGAGTTGACGAAACACCTCCAGCATCTAGGTGACGAGTCCATAATAATGGAATTTGAAGATGAAAAAGGGATGCTGGGTGAGCATCACTGGGGGAAGGGGTGAAGATGACTGTAGCCAGAAGAAAAATAGGGATTTGTGAAAACAGCTAAAATATTACTATGGCAAAGCTAAGATAAATAAATTAAACGCCTATTTTTCTTATTGTTTTCTTATTCTGTCCGATAATATATTGCTCTGAAGAATAGTCCTGTATCCCTCGGTATACAGGGACACATTCTGCCGGTACACAGAGAGGACACAACCCCTAGTATATGGTGCCTCTATCCACCAGTACACAGTGATGCTCTCCTTCAGTATCTAGGTAGGAGGAAGGGTTGAGGAGGCAGGAAGAGATAAGAAGACAGGGAAGCTGGAGAGGTCATCCTTCACAGGTTAAGTCACGGAATCTTTTTATAAGAAAAGACTGTTTTTTACTGAGAGCCTAAACAGGTACCGAGAAAAGACTACACCTATCACTACAACTGCTCTCAATTAACCCCTCAACTGCGCATCACATCCTGGGACGTTTGACCAGTGGTGGCCATCACGTCCAGAATTATTTTAGGGATTCCACTGAAATTTGAATCTCCCGCGGTTACACATGGCTTCCTCAGTACACAGACGCCATCTTGGAAAAGATCGTTAGTATGCTGCCATGGCTTCAACCCAGAAGTTTAATACACAACGCTGCAGCCTCGTGTATAAAATCATATATCCCACAATACCTTGATGCTCAGTTTCAGAAAATACTCAATGATATATATACCGAAGCTTTACACACGTTCTCGTAAAAATTGGACAAGAATCACGTATAATTGAGAAGAAAGGTAAAATTCCTTTATTTTTAATGCAATCCAGGATACAAGAAATTCATAAGTTGGCGTTGTGAAGGATGTGGTGCGGTCTAGCGTCAAGGAGGTCGTCCTGGAACACCGGGTGAAAGATACTGAAGCATTATGAAGTATACTGAAGCATTCTGAACGATACTAAAGTATTCTGAAGGATACTGAATCATTCTGAAGGATTCTGAAAAATTCTGAAGGATACTGAAGCCTTCTGAAGGATACTGAAGCATTCTGAAGGATACTGAAGCCTTCTGAAGGATACTGAAGCATTCTGAAGGATACTGAAGCATTCTGAAGGATACTGAAGCATTCTGAAGGATACTGAAGCATTCTGAAGGATACTGAAACATTCTGAAGGATACTGAAGCATATTATTATATTATACTGAAGCATTCTGAAGGATATGAAGCATTCTGATATGAAGCATTCTGATATTATATTATATTATATTATATTATATATTCTGAAGGATATTGAAGCATTCTGAAGGATACTGAAGCATTCTGAAGGATACTGAAGCTTTCTGAAGGATACTGAAGCATTCTGAAAGATACAGAAGCTCTCTGAAGGATATTGAAGCTTTCTGAAGGATACTGAAGTTTTCCGAAGGATATTGAAGCTTTTTGAAGGATACTGAAGTTTTCTGAAGGATATTGAAGCTTTCTGAAGGATATTGAAGTTTTCTGAAGGATACTGAAGCATTCTGAAGGTTGACTGATATATGTCGACGGTGAGGGTTGCAATGTGTAGTGTTCGTGCGGAGCAACACCGTAAAGATGGCGACGAAGAATGTTGTTACCTCAGCTCATCTTGTAAATGGTGGCAAAAAGGTTGCCATCGCTCTACTGCTTCTTGCGAGGCCCTGTAGGCAGGTCTACGGTGCAAGCGTTGGCAGGGAATCCCTTCACTCCGAGACCTGTAACTCTGATTACAAAACACTCAAAGTTAATTTGCGGTTAACAGTTAACACGTTAACTGAGGACAACGTAAATATAAAGTCACTCTGAAGACAGTCTATTTGAACTCTTCCTAATTTTGCACTATATAACAGCGACCTTGTGAGTACAAAAGGCTGTGAGGTGAGCCATATTATTGCTCTCTCACTCCTCACAACCACTGTTCCTCTGTGAACTTCCTCCCTTCCCTCACAATGGGGGATCTCACCTGTAGACAGGAGCATTCCCACAGGTGACGAAGAGCTGGTCGAGGTCGGGTCCTCCCCAGGAAACTGAGGTAGTGTCAAGGCTTGGTATGTTCACTACCCTCAAGATATCTCCGTTACTTGGGTCTATGTTGAACACCTGTGGGGGAAAGATCAAAACATATGTACTTACGTATACATACCTGAATACCTGTGGGAGGAACAATACATCTGTAAGATGAAGATTTTTCCTCGTGGCGCCCCCCCCCCCCTTTCCTTGGTAAGGTTAATTGCCTGTTATGCCACATTTAATTTCGCATGTCTAACGAAATTTTTCCGAAATTAGCAAATGGACTTTTTAGATAATATGCAGTAAACAGAAGTATCACTGGGAAAACTCTGAACCATAGTCAAAAAGTGAGTTACATTCTGCATAAGTTTTAATGAATTTAGTAGATTATGGCTGAGGAGACTGCAGTTACCCATTGTGCCACCCACTGTGCCACCTACCCACCGTGCCCACGCCGTAGCCGGGGACCCAGATGTTGCCGTCCGTGTCAATGGTCATGCCATCAGGCTGAGCCGGGCTGAGTCCTGCCTCTTGGAAATCGAACACAACACGACGACCGCCTTAAAAAAAAACACATTACGACACATGTAAACAAATACATGCATGCATGCATGAGTGTATGTTTTTACATGCACTCGATAAGCGTGTAGGTGAACAGACACACGCATGGCGAGTCTACGAAACGCACACTATTCAAATATGTTTTTCAACATCAAGTTCGATTACTAAACGGCTCAGAATCGTACTCAGCGCTCCGGTGGAAAGATCGAAGTCGAAGGCGTTGACCTTGTACTCGAGCGTGTCGTTGTAGTACATTGTTGAGTTGTCCTCGGTCCATGCCAGCCCGTTGCTGAGGGTCACCTGCTGGAGCACCAGGGAGGTCAGCCTCCAGGGGGTAGTTAGTGTGGACGGAAAGGGAGTTCTTCAGGTGGGACAGTGGTGGGGTGGAATGATGCAGCCCGTGCTCTCAAAATAATGTCGCTTTTCGCTCGTATGGCCAAAAACTTGTGTAATTTGGAATGAAATCGGCTCACGAATGTGATGTACTGTCCCGTTTTCTGTGAGTCCTCCAGCTTAGTCTGTTAGGTTAAGAGAGGACACTTTCAATTAACGTTTTTCATGACGTTTTAAAACTTCAGGAGAATTTCCTGCCCTCCTACATTACCAGAGGACACATAACTTACTGTTTTGGAAAAAAAAAATCCCAAATTTATTTTCCATTTTTTAATTTTCAAATTACGCCACTTTTCGGCCATACGAGCAAACGGCTAAATTCAGACGAAATTTCTAAGAGGACAAGTTGGTGAGGAGGTAGTGAGGTGGAATGGTGAGAGGTGGAGAGAATGAGGAGTTGAGAGAAAGTAATGGTGAGTCGACGATGGTGTCGTTGATGGTGAGGAACGACATTGCTTAATTAATGGGGGCAACGAGGCAGAGGAGTTGCTGTAGGTATGAATGGTAAGGAGGGAAAGTAAGGTTGTAGGTGAGGGAACTGTTGTGAGAGAAACATTCCACCAAACAATCAAAGTAACAAAAGTATTGCTTAAGACTGACCAACATGGAGTCGAGAGAGAGAAAACGCTTCGTACCTGACAATAAAAAACACGTTTTATACCTGTAACAGTCCCACATGACGTGACCTCCAGCACTGACCTTCTCGACGACCTTGGTGATGGTTCGGTCGGTGTCGAGGCGGTAGAGGTTGCCCATGTGGTCAGGATCCTCTGCTGTGCTCATGGTTCCTGCCGAAACCATGTGGTTATTGATCACCTGCGCTCTCGCAAAACTTTTCTTGCCATGTTCACTGTTTTGGTTTCAAATAGAATTCAACAGCTATCCTAGCGCATTATAGCCGTTCTCACCCACCTATAGTGCATGTTCCTCCTGTTCTCTCCCACCTGTAGTGCCATGTTCCACCTGTTCTCTCCCACCTATAGTGTCATGTTCCACCTGTTCTCTCCCACCTATAGTGCCATGTTCCACCTGTTCTCACCTACCTATAGTGCCATGTTCCACCTGTTCTCTCCCACCTGCAGTGCCATGTTCCTCCTGTTCCCTCCCACCTGTAGTGCTGTTCCACCTCCCTCCCACCTGTAGTGCTGTTCCACCTGTTCCCTCCCACCTGTAGTGCCCACCTGTTCCCTCCCACCTGTAGTGCTCTTCCACCTGTTCTCTCCCACCTGCAGTGCCATGTTCCTCCTGTTCTCTCCCTCCTATCGTTCCATGTTCCACCTGTTCTCTCCCACCTGCAGTGCCATGTTCCTCCTGTTCTCTCCCACCTATCGTGCCATGTTCCACCTGTTCTCTCCAACCTATAATGCCAGATTCCACCTGTTCTCTCCCACCTATAGTGCCATGTTCCACCTGCTCTCTTCCACCTGTCTACTCACCCGCAAAGAGCCTGCCGAGGGTGTCGCACTTGCCATCGTTGAAGCGGTTGTCCGGGAGGTCCTGCTCGACGGTGGCCAGGAGGCGGAGGTCGTCGGCGGTGACGGACAGGTCCTGGGTGGGGTCGGGCCAGGTCACAGCCACCAGGCTCAAACCAACACTGACGACGAAGGTATGAGCCGGTCCAGTCTTGTGAGGCACCACCATCGTCACGGGGCCGCCTTCTGCAGGAGGGACATGGGCGCCGGGGTGTATAGTGGAGGGCCGGACGACTAAACAGAAAACGGAACAGTACGTCACTAGTCGATTATATTACGTTCAAATTTGGCCATAGTGCGCATACGGGCCAAAAGTGACTTATTTTTAAGCATTCTTCATCCATAGCGGCTTAGTCACAGAAAGGGGGGAGAAGCTGTTACGTAATACAGTCTGTTTTAGCCAAACTAATACAGTTTTTAGCCAAACTAGTTTGGTTAAACAGTATGAACCCAAAGCAGCCCATTTAACCTATCGAGTACGATGCGTAGAAAACTTCAATATTACGGGGCTCTTGTGTTTTTGCCTCTACGTAGCAAATTTAACGAATCGATCAAATCCGTAACAAAATTTGCAACGTATTAGGTGATGGGACGTCTTTGATTAAGGACAGGTTGATTAAGAGCTTCGAGAGAACTGCATTTCTTTTCTTAGTCATGCAATCATTCCCGGTGTTAGTGCCTTTTGCTCGTTAGGTCAAAGACGTGTTCTCCCACACTTGGAGTTTCTTCATACAGATAATTAAGATCAAGGTCAAGATTGTATCCATCAGTTATTTAATTGCTACGACAGATAAGGTAATTATGCTACGAGAAAGGGGAAGTGAATGGGTGTGATTATGTTGCCATAAGGCATACGGAAAATTGCCAGATGATTGGAAGAGTAATCACGCTTTTTTGTATATGTAAATAAAAGTGAATGTAGCACATTAGTACATGTACGACCCAGCAAGGCGTTTGTCTACTTAGCGTAATGGGAACATTTATGGTAGAATAGTGTGTGAACGAGAATAGAAATAAATTTAGAAAGTGGAGAACGAAGTGGTTTTCATAGTGGACGAGGCATTTGTATTGAGACACCTGCATGCTGTAGGTGAGGCCTGTGTGGAACCTGGCGAGGGTACGCGTCCCAGTGTGCTTGTGTTGTGGCGGAAGTTGTTGTTGTTATAGATTCAGCTACTGGGAACAACAAGTTCCAAGTAGAACGGGCTATGGTGAGCCCGTAGTGGACTTATCTGGCACAGGAGCGGGGCTGTAACTGTGTGGCGGAAGGTGTACTCACCTATATGAAGCTTGGTGTGAGTATCGGTCTCTGGATGGTACCGCCTCACCAGCTGCTCGAAGAAGTCCACAAAGTAGAGTGCCTGGTCCTCCACTGACCAGTGAGGCCCCTCACCGAAACCAATTGTGCCTGTCACTGGCTCCACTTTGTAATCTTCCGACATCTGTCACGAGGAGTATGAGAGGTGAGTCAGATATCTACGAGCAAGTAGGGTGAGAGGTCAGTCAGATATGTACGAGCAAGTAGTGTGAGAGGTGAGTCAGATATCTACGAGCAAGTAGGATATCTACGTGAGAGGTGAGTCAGATATCTACGCAACCACAAAAGTGTGAGAGGTTAAGATATCTACGAGGAAGTAGTGAGAGGTCTCAGATATCTACGAGGAAGTAGGGTGAGAGGTGAGTCAGATATCTACGAGGAAGTAGGGTGAGAGGTGAGTCAGATATCTACGAGCAAGTAGTGTGAGAGGTGAGTCAGATATCTACGAGCAAGTAGTGTGAGAGGTGAGTCAGATATCTACGAGCAAGTAGTGTGAGAGGTGAGTCAGATATCTACGAGCAAGTCAGATATCTACGAGGAAGTAGGGTGAGAGGTGAATCAGATATCCGAGGAAGTAGGGTGAGAGGTGAGTCAGATATCTACGAGGAAGTAGGGTGAGAGGTGAGTCAGATATCTACGAGCAAGTAGAGTGAGAGGTGAGTCAGATATCTACGTAGGATGAGAGGTGAGTCAGATATCTACGAGCAAGTAGAGTGAGAGAAGTCAACAGCTACCACAAAATGTTTAAATCGTGTGAATCTGTCTCAAAATAATAAAGTCACCCCCACCCCTATTGTTATTTCAAACTCATCTGATGATTTTACCAACATTTATTCACTCCCATTATGACTTAGGCTCTATACCCCTACAAACATCCACAGAAATTCAACGTAAATATTAAACATTGTAAATATCGAACCTTGTTGAGGTGTTTCACAGGTCTAGACGAGTCGCCAGGGAACGTCGAAATGATACCATGGAAAGCCAGACTGCATTTATATACAAACAACTCCACCCACTCTCCTCACCCTCCCCCCCCCCTCACTTCCCACGTGAGTTTCCACCAACCACTGGTGTCAAAATAACTTAATTTATGGCATTATCTCCAGTGCGAATGAGTCACGCAAAAAATCATATCTAAAGTTGTCACCTATGATATCATAGCTGCGTGACATCTTCGACATATTTGATAGGAACAGATAAGAATGTGTCTGTTATCATTTGATAGTCTCTGGGCAGCATTATCTCTCCCAAGGAATGGTGATAGGGAGCTAGGTGTGAATTTCACACCTGGTCTATATCCACTTGGACTGGTCGATATACAGCAAAAGTCTCGTTTTTTGCAGTAGGCCGGTGTTTGATCCCTGTTAGTCCGAAGTGTTTGGGCACTGTTCCTTCTCTCTGTCCTCATATCCCAGCTTCTTGTCTCTCATACCACTTCCAAGAGCTATGTAATCATAATAGCATCTCACCTCACACCTTAGAGAGTAACATTTAAGTAGTACAGATCAACGTTTTCACGTTGTCTGTCAATCAGACTATTACCAGGGAGAGAACAGCTGACAATTTCCCACAAACCCTCCTTATGTTGCTCCCAGACCTTTGTTAATGTCAACATAGACCCCCTCATATTCCTCCCAGACCCTGGCTTTTACAACATGAACATTCTAACATAAACTATGACAAGTAGAAGGTTAATTACTCTACAGTCTGAGGATTTATTGTGTATAAACAATTCCTCTAGCTTTCCATACCTCGCGATTTGAAATTAAGTTACAGCCTAACTCCCTGAATACTGCTAAGAGGTCATCCTTCTGTATGAGATAATGGTTGGAACAACTCACTCAACTCAATCTCTCTCTCTTTCTCTCTCTCTCTCTGTCTCTCTGTCTCTCTGTTTCTCTGCCTCTCTGTCTCTCTCTCTCTCTCTCTCTCTCTCTCTCTCTCTCTCTCTCTCTCTCTCTCTCTGTCTCTCTCTCTCTCTCTCTCTCTCTCTCTATCTCTATCTCTATCTCTCTCTCTCTCTCTCTCTCTCTCTCTCTCTCTCTCTCTCTATCTCTATCTCTATCTCTCTCTCTCTCTCTCTCTCTCTCTCTCTCTCTCTCTCTCTCTCTCTCTCTCTCTCTCTCTCTCTCTCTCTCTCTCTCTGGTTCTTTTAAAAGCCCCGGCACTGTGCAGCGTGTCCCTGGCTACAATGTTCATGATCATTACTATTCACTACCTGGGAGGGTGGAGAAGGATAGGCCTAACGTGACAGCTGTGTGTGGTGTTGGTGGTGAGGGTGGTGGAGAGGGGCAGAAATGGTGGTAGTAGTGATACTGGTGTTGGTGGTGATGGTGGAGTGGGTGGAAGTAATGATGTTGGTAGTGGTGTTGGTGGTGGTAAGGGTGAAAGTGGTGGTAGTGATGATGCTGGTGGTGGTGGTGCTGGTGGTGATAGTGACGACAGTGTCCAGCGACACGAGTGAGGCTGGTGAGGGGTTTAGGCTAGTCAAGAGCAGCTCATCACAGGATCTAACAAACCCGGAAGAGTGAGAATGAGATAGAACAGGATAGTGAGGTAGGGAGTGAGTGAGTGAGGGGGGGAAAAGGGCAATGAGAGAATGAGAGTAGGGATGAAGGGAGAGGAAGGAGGAAAGAAGGAATGGAACACAGATACCCGGAACAACCACAGAGCTCCTTCTCTCTGTGATATAAGAACCAGCACCACACTATGTGGGATTTGCAACAACAGGAAACGCATATAGGTCAAGCTAGCTGCACTTTAAGCTCTGTACAGCTCTAGCTTGTCATTGGTGTTACACCCTTACGTGAACCTCTACAGTTTCTAACCTCTATGACTCTAACTAGTTGATGGCTCTTTTCCATCAAAAATGGGAGAGAGGTGCATCTATTTGATATATAACTAGGACTGATGTTTTTTGTTCTCCAAAAATAAATAATGATTGATCACAATGTCTCATCTACCCAGGCTCAGCTAATCGCCCTAATAATAAATCTAGAATTCGTAGAAGGAATTAAGCATAAGGGAAAGCAGTGATTTAATGAGGATTCAAGAGATTAATTTCTCCATACTGATGGAAAATATCAGTTGAAACTTGACGGGCATTTGATGAAATCAATCAAGCCGAGAAAACATGAATAAAGCGATTATGATCAGATTCCAATAGATCCAGTGGAAGAACAGACAAGCTGAGAGATTAACGTATTATAGATCATATTGAATTCTGCATCGTCATTTTTGCAACTGAAGTCTGCAACCCCCCCCCCCCCCACTCCCCTCCTAGACTACTCACCAGAACAGAGCCTTGCAACGTGGTAAATTTACTCAAGAGGCCGGAAGAGTTGGACAGTTAATCTGTGAGGCTGTGCACGATGCAATTGCAGTTGATTTTGTGCACATTGGTCTTCCCTGTGGGCGTCGTGGAATCTGATACATTATGGCTCCGTCTCTGCTACAATAAGACTCCGTCTCTGCTACAATAAGACTCCGTCTCTGATACAATAAGACTCCGTCTCTGATTCAATAAGACTCCGTCTCTGCTACAATAAGACTCCGTCTCTGATACAATAAGACTCCGTCTCTGATACAATAAGACTCCGTCTCTGATTCAATAAGACTCCGTCTCTGATACAATAAGACTCCGTCTCTGATACAATAAGACTCCGTCTCTGATACAATAAGACTCCGTCTCTGATACAATAAGACTCCGTCTCTGATACAATAAGACTCCGTCTCTGATACAATAAGACTCCGTCTCTGATACAATAAGACTCCGTCTCTGCTACAATAAGACTCCGTCTCTGCTACAATAAGACTCCGTCTCTGATGCAATAAGACTCCTTCTCTGATAGAGTACAAGGCTCTGATTCTGGTGCAAGTATTAGTGGAGACTCGGGACTGGAACAGCAGACGGAGAGAAACAGTGTACTACACCATTTGGACCCCATCCCCCTCGACCACATTACTGTTCATCAGAGACTTTGGGTTGCTTAGAAACGTTACATGTGAGCACAGTAATAAAATCACTTAATTATTTTATGCTGGGAAGACATTTTTCCCTGCACCTGCAAGATAGCGTGAACTTGTGTGGACGTGGTGAATGTCGCTATCTTTGCTCAGTTATCTGTTCACTTGAGATAGCCAAGTAAGTGTTAGTTACTAGTGGGTACAAGTGACCGGATAAACAATTGTCCTCAGCGGCAGCAATGGTCTATTGCTGTCTATTGTACCCCAGACACTCCTGCGTCTGTGTTCAAGAGACTGGATTAACAAGCATAGCTATACTTCTGGATACAAGTGCCAGGATGAACAAATCCAGTTGAATTTGGATTTAAGTATTAGGATGAACAATTACAGCTGGTTTTCCTCTATTTGAAGGCGCTGTACATTTTGCTATTGGAAGATGTTGTATTTGCTGATATTTCCAGCTGCTATTGTACATGATATACTGTGTGTATAGCAGTACATACTGCTATACACGCTTTCTCTTCCTAATTGGTTTTCAACCTTACTCATCTTCGTGATGTCACCCGTCCACTTAGGGGGGTCAAAAGACGTTGTGTGCTGATGATGTCTACTATGTCAGATGTAAATAGTAAATAGTTGTGTATATGATATCAGTGATCGGACTCTGTACGATTTGTTGGTCATTCCCATTACTAGAACCACTGCTACAGCAAATTATTCACTTCAAACGCAAAAAGGACTTAATCCGAACGCAGCGTCATTCGGATTAAGTCTCAAAAATCCTCACAAATCAACAAATCATTTACTCACTGTGCCAGCCAGCTGATAATTACCGAGATCTGACCACTGTATAATGAGGTAGTGTACAACAACTCTTCCCTAATGTCTCACGTTGCATCTCTAATAAGTAAACAATCCAATGGACCATTAGTATTTGCAACCACAATCATTTCCTTTCGAAGGCTGAACTATGGAGTTTTTTGGGATATATATTTTTATTTTGGCTATGGAGCGCGTATAATTATCCTGCGCCCCGAGGAAAATACGCCCTGCGTGACGAGAAGGGCTTCATAAATTACCAGGGAGGTGGGTGGAGGAGGGAAGGCTACACAGGTGTCTTCCTGCCAGGGCTGGGGTTGGCCCCGTGGGGCCCCTGCAAGACGAATCACCTGTCAACACTTGCCCCTTCTCCGATGCTTCCCCTCTTCCTCCTCCTCCTCCTCCTCTTCCCCCTGTACTACTCCTTCCTTATCCAAATCTTGTTTTTCCTCTTCCTCCTTCTGCAGTTCACCTTCCATATCCAAGTCTTCTTCCTCATGCTTCACTTCTTCCTCCCTAACCTTGTCTTATTATTCCTTATTACTAGGCCAATTCTTATACTTTCTTGCTAATATTTATACATATTTTTTATTTATTTCTTTCTCCCATTTCTGTTATATTTTCTTCAAATCAAAGTAAGCTGTTTTACGTAACGTTTCCTACAGCTTTAATTTTTTAATTGCTATATTTCCTCATAATCTCAACATTTGTTCACAATTGTGTCTATTCAGCAGAGAATTGTTCACAAAAGAGACAGTGTTTACCGATTGGCTTATCCCACAGGTAAGGACATATATGCCTAAGACGTGTACGCCAAGGCAGGCATATATATATATATATATATATATTGGTGTATACTGGCAGCAGGTTTTCTTTCAAACATGTTTCATTGAATATGACCGCATATTCTGTATTTATTATTTTCTGGTTTAGGGCTTCTATCCCTCTAACTATTTTCTTAGCATCAGGGCTTAATTGGAATAGGAGTTCTCCAAAACTCATTTTCGTACTTTTAAGGTGAAGAAAAGAAGTGATTTACTATAGAGTGTATTACACTTATTTGTATAATTTGCACGACGTTTCGAACCTCCATGGTTCATTCTCAAGTGAACAGATCTTACAATACTAGTTGATTTTATACCCGCATTAGGTCAGGTGATAATACAATGAAGGTGAAAAACATGGGGGGATATATAAGGGATAAACATAGGGGCTGCAGAAGGCTTATTGGCCCATACGAGGCATCTCCTATCTAAACACAAA